ATTAATTTGATTTAACTTTCCTATGTACATATATAAATATACCACTGTGAGTTGCTACATCATGTACAACCACAAGACTGGGATCCTAATTAGAATAAGATATACTCCATGTTTGTATAAGTATGTCAAATTATACTCTGCTGTCATGCACAACTAAAAAGAACAAATAAAAATATTTTTTTAAAAGGCCAATAACTAGCCCGTATCACACAAGTAGGGAATGAAGGAGCCAAAATTTAAATAAACAATATATAACAATATAACTCTATAAAATAAGCTTGTACTCTTTACTATGTTAAATAATCTATGGAAGTCCAGCACACGAGAACAAATAGAGTTACTGGTGTTAGGTGTCCTATAATTAAACCAAACTCTGAAAAGAGTCAGGTAGCAAAAAAAAAAAAGAGGATTCAAAGCAATCAATCAGAAAGGACCCAGTTCACTTGGGCCAGAATTCTAAGGATGTCCCTTTTGCTTTAACCTTATAAGGAAATGGCAATCCATTTTTGTTCCCTGTTTCTGCTTTCTTCAGCCTTTTTCTATCTATTTTTAAAAATAAGGAGTTGTCTAATTCTGGAATCACAAAAGTTAATTAGCTCTTTAATTTGTTTTGATTTTGTCTTTTGAAAGTCATATCTCCCCATATCATTAATGTTTTACTTAAAGAGTTCAAAAGCAAAATAATTAGAGGTGAACTAGTAAATAAAGGATAATTTACTAGGGAACAACTGACAAAACTTAAAGCTTATTAAATATATAGAAATGAGAGAGTAAAAACAAAAAACAAAACACAATCATTTCTTAAGTATTAGGAATGTGAGAAAATAATATCATGGATAGAAGTAGCAGAATCACAAATGAGAATCCAAAGGAAAAAAGAGTAATAAATATTTCAGGATGTTGGATTTGAGAAGATGAAAAGATATCCAAATAGAAATTTCAGTACACATCTAAGATTTTAGAAACTCAGGGGAGAGCCAAGAATTGGAAATACAGATTTTGAAATTACCCTACATAAAATGGAGAATGAAAGCAGCAAAACTACTAAAGTCTTCAAGGTTTTAATAAAAGGACTGATCCTTGGGGAAACAGCAAGAGTTCAGAGGCAGAAGAGAAGTGGGTGGAGAGCCAAGGAAGGGTGTTTCAGATGGGAGCATTTCAAGGAGAGAGCAGTGAGCAAGCACAGCTGCCTTTTTTTCATTCTGTATTCCCTCAATGAGAGACCTCATTCTCATCATTACCTTGGCTATCATCTACTCATATGCAAATGAGTCACATGCCCATATTACCTGGCTTTTCACCTTAGTTTTCCCTAAGCTACACACTCAGATTTCCAATTGTCTACCCTTATTTTCACCAAGGCCATCTCAAATTCAACATGCTCAGAATCAAACGCTGCCTCATATAATGTGGTCTTCTTCCAGTCTTCCTTATCTCTGAAAATAGCATCCCGCTGCACAAACCAGAAAACTATGAATAATCCATGACCTGTCTCTTATACCTCAACCCCAACCAATCCTCATCAAGTCATTCTTAGCTTTCTTAACATCTCTGGCTATTACAATCTTAGCCTAAGATACCACCACCTTCCATCTTGTACATGCAACTACCTCCCATTTGGACTTTACATATAATCTTGCTCTCCTCCATGTAGACAAGATGATCATTTCAAATGCAAACCTGACTATATAACAAACACCCAATTTTGTTTAAAATGCTTGCTTTCTTAGCTCTTGGGGTTAAGATCAAATTCCTTGCCTTGGCCTACTTGACCTGCATGATTTGGTCCCTGCCTACTTCTTAGTCTCATTACTACCATCTGTATTTTGTTTTGTTTTGCTAGTCCTCTTTCAGTTTCTTGACTCTTCTAAGCTTCTACTCACATAGACCTCTGCATATGCTTTTCCCCTCTACCTAGGAAATGCCTTTCACTCCCATCTCTACCCTCTACATCCTTTTGCCTACTTATCTTTCAGTTCTTGGTTTAGTGATACTGTGCCAAATCTCCCTATTATTAGAAGTTCTTGTTGAATTCTTGCCTCTCCTTAGCACTGACTAATCACAGTTGTAATTTTACAATACTTTGTGATTGTTTGATCAATGTCAATTTCTCCTGACAAGAAGCTTCATAAGGGCAGAGGTTATGTCTTTTTTTTTTAATTATCAAATCATCAAGACACACCACTGTACCTAACATATAACATTTTAATATTTGTTGAATCAATTATTACATACTTTTAATATATATATATATATATATATATATATATAGAGAGAGAGAGAGAGAGAGAGAGAGAGAGAGAGAGAGTTGTAGTTGGACACAATACCTTTATTTATTTTTGTGTGGTGCTGAGGATTGAACCCAGCGCCTCACACATGCTAGGTAAGCACTCTACCACTGAACCACAACCCCAGCCCTACATACTCTTTTAAAAGTAAAAAAAAAATAGGACTGACTAATAAGACAATTGAGTTGACTATTAAGAATGCTGATGACCTTTGAATGTACACTTTTAATCTACTGATAAGGTAGAATTCAGAATGAGGGACTTAAGGAGCAATGGCAATAGGGAAGAGAAGATGGACAAGAAGGGTAACAGGAGGCAGCACCAGTTATCAAGGGAAAGTTGTTTATTTTTATTTTGTTATTCTTCACATCATTACTGGTGTTCCCCAGTTCAAGGAATACTTAAGGAGGAAAGAATTTAAAATGTTAGATATAGGATATAATTAGTGAAACAAGATAACTAACATTGAAGGAGTTTAAAAATGTCAACAAAGTGTGAGGTAAGAAAAGCTGTCATAAAGGAGTGGTCAGTTTAAGCACACAACTAGTTGAAATATTTGAAACCATAAAGATGCTGATGGGTTAATAAATCAATTATACCTGATGGGCAAGGCACATAAAAGAGTGCTGTGTTATACATCAAAAGGTAAGGAAATCATGTTAAACTATGCCACTTAGATGTAATCAGCAAAATATAGATATGGGAAACTTCATAGAAGCAACAACTTGGTCCTTTAACAAATTGCAAGGGAGATAAAAGTGAACATAATAAAACATTATGTTCCCCATCCACTGAATCCTGAATTGCAAAAATTGAACTTGAGAACGTGAACTGCTTATTTGTATAAGATGGAAAATATTTAATTTAATTTATAGAATTAAAAAAAACTTAAAAGACTAACAACAATCACAAAATCACAATGTGTGAATTTGACTGGATCCTAGTTCAAGGAAGCAAATTATAAGAGAGAAAGAAGTGGATAATTAAACAGTGGATACTTGATATTAAGTAAATACACTAAATACTTTAGGTGTGATTATAGTATTACAGCTATGCTTTGTTATACTAAAATAAATTTGGGGTGGCTGATATTTGCTTCAGAACAACAAGTATACACATAATATGGAAGCAATAAATTACGAATTAACATTGCTAGAGCTGGTATGGAGTTCATTGGGCTTCACTATAAAATGCTTGAAACTTTCCTTGATAACTTTTAAAAAAAGACGAGATTTGGTTTCCAAGCACAGGATTTTCTTTCATACACTACATTTTAGATCACCTTGATTAATGCTTCCTGGTCTGAGTCTAGTGAACTTCAGAAAACAGTGGTGATCATATCTAGGTAAATTTAAGTTATGCACCAAAAAAACAGGGTTGGATAGAACACGAGATACACTTAAAATCTGAAATATAACAGGAGTAGATCTTTCAAAGTATTATTAAAAGAGTTTCAAGGTCAAAAATTAATATATATGATAACAAGAAACTAAGAGGGGCAGGTCAGGGTAAGGAGTATGTCCAAAGCAATGGGTAAAAAAATGATTCCATCTACTCCCTGTTTCTAAGACACATTCACTGGAGATTCCCTGCCAAGGAAAAAGTCACTCAGGTATAAAATGACCAAACCTGAGCAAAGAAAAGAATGAGATTTTGCAAAATGGAGTAAGTTCACTCAAATCTCCACAACCTACTTCTCTTTTCTGTTTCGTTCATTCTATTTCCTTCCTCCAAATTCCGAATGTGCTTTAGAAGTTAGTGCAAGGCCGAGACAAAGCCGGGAGACTAAGAGGTAATAGAAAGTGTTTGGATAAAAGGAATAAAACATTATGTTCCCCATCCACTGAATCCTGAATTGCAAAAATTGAACTTGAGAACCTGAATTGCTTGTTTGTATAAGATGGAAAATACAACCATCAGGATTTGAAAGAAAAGTTGTTTAGATTGGCTGCACGGCAGTGACTAAAATATTGAACTATAGGGAATTCTTTCTTAACCAGATCTCATCCTCAGCAATCCTCAAAGCACCAGCCTTTTACTTGCTGGTACATATACAAAAGAAAAAAAAAAATTAAAACGTCGGTCATTTTAAATATATTTTGGGGCAGGGGAGTAAGACCATGTGAAGTGTATAGAAAAAAAAAAGTGTTACGTTCAGCAAGAAAGTCAGTGGTTGGAGCACTGTGGAAGAGTGACAGTAGGAAATGTGGTTGGAGACACAGCAATGGGCTCCCACAGTCTTTATACAGGAGGTGGACATATCAGACCCCGGGGTGGAACATCTGAAACAAAGCAGAATTGCCTGAAGTGGTGCCAAAAGTGCTCTGCAACCCTCTGGCCGTTAAGAGTTGGCAAGGGTGTAAACCGATCCCACCGAGTTGGACAGATTAGGTCAGCCTCTCCCCCCAAAAAACCCAGCTACATCGCCATTAATCGAGAATTGAGAGTCCTCTCCTTTTTCCGGGACCTAACCTTACCGCCAAACTAAATACTTGATAAGGTGAAGCGGAAACGATTGCTGAAAACCAGCCTCAACCTATCGGATCAGGACAGCAGTTAATTCCACTGCCCCAGATCCCGGGCTTCCTCGCGCCTGTGCTAGAGGGCCGAGAGAAAATATGCACCAATCATAAGGCAGATATGGAGTACGAATCGTCCTCAAGGCCAATAAGAGAGCTGGTAGGCGGGGCGGAGGGCGCAGTTTCGCTCCCGGGGTTTAAACCTCCAAAGCCAGACGGTTAACGGCTAGGTGGGTGCGTGGGCGGATAGTACGCGTGCGCGAGACCGGAGCACTAACCGAAATCTGCGGGGCTCATCTGGTAGGGCAGCCCGAGGCTGGGCAACTTTCGGACGTCGGTGAGGCGGGTGAGCTGGGCCGAGGCTGAGAGCCATAGGGGCTGGGGGATGCTCTCCCGCTACTGCTGGAGCCAGTGCTTCTTTTTCCTCTATTAGACTCCTGCGGAATTGCAGATTCCCTCCCCTTTTCCTGGAGCGCGGTCCGATAGCCTGGCGTTCTTAACGAATCCTAATTGTGTGTTTCCTAAGGCGCTGTAAGCCGTACTGTTCAGTGCACAGGGCGACTGCAGGCCCTCCAGGTCACAAAGTGTGCCTGCTGATCGTGCGAAGCTGCCCGCCCTTCGGTCGGTCGCCTGTGAGCTAGTGCACCGAGCCCTGGGGGAGGTGGTTCCTTTCTCCTGGGAAGGAACCGAGCTCCTGGAGCCCCTCCCGGCCAGCTGGTTTCGACTGTTGTCTTTGTTGTTCTAAAGAGCAGACAGAAAAAAATAAAAATAATTAAAAAAATAAAGAGCTGACAGATCTTCTTACCGTCGAGTTACACTTTTTGTGGACTTCTGGATCTGACCATATCAGAGAGGTGTTTGCCTAATGAGTTAGGACGTAGTCTTATCCCAAAATGAAAATAAACCCTTTCTTACTGTAAAATTACATATAATTAATAATGCAAATTTTAAAGAAACTACATATCCTTTTCAATTGGTAAGATTTTTCAATATCCAGCGCTGTAAGAGTGAAAAAATAAGCCCCACCCCACCTCACCCCCTCCATACTCCCTATGTTAGGGGTAATTGATTTTACTAGAGGGCAGTTTTATCATCTTGATTTAGTATTTACGTTGTACCATAATTTCTAAAACATAGTCCACTTCCAGGAATTTATTCTAAGGAGATACATCAGACAGAAATGTAGACTTGTATATGTACATGTTTTTAGAAATAAATAAGCAATATTAAGTACACATAGATGAGAAAGAAAATAAGTCCACCAGCCACAAATAATCATCAAATAAAAAACTCTATTTCATTATATTTACATGATTATCCTTATTGAAATGTCATTGCTTTGGTTACGATGAATACATAGATTATGTCTTATTCAGTCAATGCCTTATTCAGAACATGTTTCTATGCCATTGTAGATGTGCATTACCATTTTTAATGAATGAATAGTACGGCTGTATTGTACCATATATTTAGCCAGTCCCCTAATGATGTTTATGTTTCCAATTTCTTCATGATCATAAAATAGTGTGTTACTGGTCGCTTGTACATATACAGGTTTGCATTTTTATCCAGTGTTAACTTAGAATAAATTGCTGAAAGCAGATTAGGGTTTTTTTAAGTTGTTTTTTTTTAGTTGCAGTTGGACACAATACCTTTATTTTATTTATTTTTATGTGGTGTGAGGATCAAACCCAGGGCCTCACATGTGCTAGGCCAGCGCTCTACCGCTAAACTACAACCCCAGCTGAGAATTAATTAATTTTGAAGTGATTATTTCTTCACACTCATCAGCACTGAATATTGGGGCGGGGCGGGGGGGGGGGGGGACGACTTACCAGTCTAAAAAGATATCTTAACGTGCATTATTAACGAGGTTAAACATTGTGTTTTAGTCATAATTTTTTTGGCAAATACCTTTTCCCCATTATTTTACTGATATGTGTACTTTTTAATAATTTTAATTATTGATTTTAAACATATTACAAGTACTTTCCTCAGTTTGTTGTCTCTTTGACCTTATTATGGTGGTATTTGCTTTAAGATAGGGTGTTTTAATACTTTCATTCTTTTAAGTTGTCTGCTTACCTCCCCTGTGGTAGAGGAATTTTGTTATAACTCTGCGGTAGACTCCTTATAATGCTTAGAATCTATGGACTCAGCTTCCCTATCTGCATTTAAAATCCTTCCTCTTGTAAAATCCTTTCAATTTTAACTAGCTAAATCTGGGACAGTGAGTCACTTGAGATTTTTGAAAAAAATACATTGTTAGATATTTTGGTCAAAACTATCCTATTTATCTACAAAATATAAGTTGCTCTAGCAAGTTTCCCCTCTAATAGAAAAGATTGCTGTGTCTTAATATTAGAAAAAACTGATGACCTGTGGACTTTTTTAAAGTTAGCATCTCAGTGTTTGCAAACATCTATCTTCACATGTTCGATGACAAATGAATGTGATGTAATTTAAACACAAAGAAAACACACATAATACAGTTACATATGCCATCTTTTAAAAAATCTCCTGGCTTTAGTATCAGAAATCCTCCCAGTCCAGGGTCCCACAAATCACTAAGGATTATCTCATTTAAACTCAAGAACTTTTGATATAATTCTTTCCATTCTAAAAACAGATAAAGTAAATCTAATTCATAGTTTGCTTTCTTCTGACACTCAGTGAGTCCTTTCTATGGATCAGATTTGATTTTGTACAAACACTACCTCCAATAACAAGTAATTTGGCAAAGGTACATTTGGGGGCCTTTCATTTGCTCCATCTGTTATGACTGTCCTGACTTTTTCCTGTGGTCACTATCTAAAATGAGGTTAGTAAATAATTACATTTCCATATTTTATAATATAATCTGGTCAATCTTGAAACGATTTTACTTAAAATCTGATCCTGATTCTCTCTTTGCTTCTATATAATCTCCTAGCATATAACTTTTAGCTAGTGCTTTTTGTCATTACATATCATGGTTTTAGAGTCTTTTTTTTTTTTTTAAGATGAGGAATGATTTAAACTCTCTTTTCCTTTTCTAGGTTTTTGTTGTTGTTGTTAACGTGAATAATAATGCCAATCAAGGTACATTTGAAATAAGGTAAGAAACGGAAAAAAGTAATCGATTTGTTTTTATATGTTTAAGTAAGGGTAGTCTACCATGCTCAGTGATTACACTAAAAACAAGATCTTTACATCAAAATTAAATGGCAAAGGAATAATATTTTAGGAACATTCAGATCATTGTGAAGTGTTGGTTCATCAGATCCCCCAAATTGACAGAGATTCAATATCCAGAAGACATAGATCATACAGTTGGCTATTTTAAATAAATTTATTCTGTATTACTATCTTGCCATTTTAAAATGTAAATACATTCTGGTTCCTTCTCTGCTAGGATGCAAGTCCATCACAATGTACCTCCTCACTTGATAGTTCCACAGGATCATCTCACTTTTCTTAGGCTATTTTATTTCTTAACCCCAGAACTTTTTCAGTAGTCTTATTTCTGTAATACACCTCCTATTGAGCTTCTGTAGCACTAATGAAGTCAGTTCTATGTACATATCAGTATTATTTCTAATGGCCCCATGTGTTTCATATATTAACCAGCAGTTATAATATTTTAAGGGTCACTTAACAATGTTTTGAGAACAAAGCCCCACTTCATTTTCTTATCTCAGTGTGTAGTAATACCAGCTACTCTTTTGTTCAGATCTGAACCTACAACACTATCCTAAAAGCCTTCCTACTTTTTAACACTACATTCATTCAGAGTCCTACTGCTGCCTTTTTAACCTCAAATTTATCTTCTTTCCATCCCTTATTACTCCTAATACAGATGTATTCTGTCATCTGTTGCCTCAATTATTCCAGTAGCCTCACTGGTCTCTCTAGCCTCAGTCTTGCCTTTTTTCAATTCACAGTATACCTAGAGCAGTGCTTTTGCTACATAGATCTGTCTAGCTTTATTTTTTTTTCCCCCAATCTAAGATTTTTAAGGAAGGCCTACAAAGGTCTACAGATATGACCGATGCCTGCCTTTCTAAACCATGTTTTTGCCATACTGAGGTACAGTTTCCTGAATATATATGCTATAATCTCTAACTTTATACAGATTGCATCTTCTGAGTTAAGACATAAAGCTCTGGTTCTTTATCCTAACTTTAACTGATTCCCACATGTTCTGCAAAATTTATCTTGAATGTTTTCTCTTTAAATTTATTTTTTATTGGTACATAAGATTTATACATAATAGTGAGATTCATTATGCCATATTAGTACATGCACATTACATAATGTAACCAATCTCATTACCTTTCCTTTCCCTCCCCCCACTCCCCCTGGAGGGATTTGGGAAGTACTGGGGAATTAAATCTACCAAATTATGCTATGTTTATGTAAGACTATACCACAATGAATCCCATTTATATATATAATGCACTAATTAAAATAATAAAGACTAATAGATAGAGCAAGTGTTTTTTACATTTAAGACTTGTTGAAAAGAATATAGAACAGACCATTTGTGTCTCATAGAGCCTAAAGTAGTATTTACTCTGCCATCCTCCCCAAAAAAAGTTTGGCAACTTCTACACTAGATTTATATGCCTCATAGAAAAAGGTCTTGTGCCATATTTAAGTAAGTAAATTTCTAAAAATAATCACTAGCACTAAACCAATTTATCTAATTCTTAACTGACTAAATTTAATATTTTTTAATGTCTTAAAAAATAAAGCTGTTGGGCTGGGATTGTGGCTCAGCAGTAGAGCACTTGCCTAGCACGTGCAAGGCCCTGGGTTCACTCCTCAGCACCACATAAAAAAAATAAAGATATTGTGTCCAACTACAACTAAAAAAGAAATAAAAATTTTAAAAATATAAAATAAAGCTATGAAAATTCAGATTAGTAAAAATTTCATTTATCTTGAAAAAGAGCAGCAAAATGAACTAAACACAGGATCAGGTTTTAATGAATTTGTACACAAGGCACAGGTTTGCAGGTGTACATAAATTACAGTTCTTTCCTCTACCCCTTCTAGTACTGAGAATTGAACTCTGGGATGCTTTACCACTGAACTATATCCCCAATCCTTTATAATTTTTAAAATTTTTTCATACAAGTTTTTGCCAAATTGCCAAAGCTGGCCTCAAACTTGCAGTCCTTCTGCCTCAGCCTCCTCCTGGGTGTACAAGTATGTGCCACCATGCCAAGCTACAAATGAGTTTTGCTTCTTTCATCTCTTAATCCTTTTGGACAGGGATGATAGCCTCTGAACTTTTTCCTGTTTAAGCCAGAACTTCCTTAAGAACTTCCTTTCTTTTTTTCGCCCCCTACCCCTAAAAAAGCTGGTAATCAGAACTATTAAGACTTCTTGAATTTTTTTTTTTCCTTTAAATTTCATTTCTACTGCCTACCACTAGCTGGTTGTCGCTTCCTAGGTCCTGGCAAGTTATCTATGATTAAATGATGCTTTTAATTTCTGCATCTACACAGACCCTCTTGGTTGGTTTCTCCAAAACAGTAGTCTCTTCCTCTACTGTGTCATTACAGTCCCTTTTGGCTTTTGTTTCTTTATGGAATAAATGTGGGTGTTCAATGCGTCCTCTGCGTACAAAATGCTGGATCCGGGATTCCAAACCTTGGCATTTAGGACGGTCCATGAGGGGTCTATATGTGCGCATTTTCACTCCTTCTACAAAGGCACTGGTCTGCTTTATGATAGAGGGCTTAATGTTTCTCCACTCTATTGCTCCATCCATCTTTGGTCCCGTCCCATAGGGTAATACAACAGAGTCCAGTCCTTGTAGCATACTATATAATATCTGAGTTTTCACAGCATGATTAGCCCATAGTTGTTGCAGGTGAGTAACATTGTACTCCTGAACCTCCTGATCATAGATCCACGTGATATTTTCAAACTTACAGTCGTATAAGACTAGAGGAAATTCTACAGCCATACTAGAGAAAAAGAGAAGAAACAGTGTGAGAATCCATAGCAGCCACTTTTTAAAAATGGTTCTTTTTTTAAAAACTGAGGTTTGCTTTAGCTAAAAAGTAAGGGAAGACTACAGGTATCAATATTGAGGATCTAGTAGCTAAGAAAATACAATATTATCTTATCCTGAAAATTTAATTATAATTTTAAAAAGAAAAAAAAAAAAAGCAACAAATCATGGATCAATTTGGTCTATATTTGGTAAATGTCAGTAATGAGGTGAGTTGACACTACAGTAAAATCCAAAACAGCTCACAATACTATCCAAATTTGTTAGTTTGGCTTTCTATAGCCTGGGAATGAATTACTACTATCTGACCTCAACCTGTTCTCAAAAGTACAGTATCATGACTATTTAGTAATACAAAATAATCCAGATATAATGTAAACAGTTTGAATATTCGTGCTTTAATTTCTCCAGAAACTAATAGTAGTGCCTATTAACAAATTCAAAAGCAAAAAAGATGTGGGAATGAATGAATATTCAGGAGTTAAGGGGCCTGGTCCAAATACCTATTTCCTTACTAATAGAATAAAACAATGAGAAAATTAGAATATATTCCCACATGTTCACAACATTCTACAAATTAGATTAAGAGCTTCCTGAAATCAAAATCAGTAACTTGGTTATTTAGACAATCTTGGAGCGGGGAGGGGGGGGGGAGACATGCTAATTTGGTTTGGTTTAACTTACCTATATTGAGGTTTCTGGGGATTTCTCTCTATGTTCAGCAATTCATCAATAATCTCTGGCTTCTCCAATCCTTGGCCAATCAGAAAAAGGATAGCCATCATACAGCGGACTTGATGATAAAGGAATGCCTGGCCAGTCACTTCAAATTGACATAACTGGAAAGGTTCTTGCCATCTCTCCTCACCCATGCTTTGGCTCACTAGCTGTACTTGAGCAGACAGAATCGTCCTCTGAAAATTAATAACTCCATTGGCTACATCCATTTTACACAAATTCCTGAAATCATGGGTGCCAACATATTTCTGAGCTGCGAAATTCATTGTTAAAATATCTAAATCAGCACGAGGGAAAAAATAGCGGTAAGTCCGCTCAAGACAGCTAAACCTGGCACTGAAACTAGGTTCCACAGGGGCCCAGGCCAGTACACGGATGTCTGGAGGAAGCACCCGATTGAGAATGTGGGTGTAACGGATCTCTTTTGCAGCATCATTGGCTTCATCTTTTAAATTAAGGTCCTCTGAATCACTGCCCCTTAGAAACCGAGAACGTAGGTCAAGAGAAATCACCTATGGAATTAAAAAAATATACTGTGTTTTAGAGATACAGATAATCTCAATACTCCATGTACACCTAGATACCTTGGTATTAGTTGCTTTGAGAAATAGTATACTGGCCCTTACCTGTCCAAAGGCACTAACTCCTTTGTCTGTTCGCCCACACCGGTGATAGGTGGAAGTCTGTCTGCTTTCTACTAGTCGAGTCTTGGTTAAAGCCTCAAATAATTTCTCTTCAATGGTATTGTTTGTGTTTTCCTGACTAGCAAAGCCCTGGTATCCCCAGCCCAAATAAGCTATTCTTAGGGCCACATGTCTTTTGCCATGAGCACTGAAGTCAAATGCACGCTTAGCTTTTCCAGATCCTGAAGAATCTTCTTTAATAGTTGAGTCTTTAATGTTGTCCTGTTCTTTCTTAAGTCTTTGCACCTCCTGCTCCAATTCTTGTACTCTTTGTAGGAGTTTCTCAACCTGGTTTCTATCTGTGTCATTTTCAGCCATGATATGACGACCCCAGGAATAAACAAATAGTACTGAAAAGAGAGCAAAGGGATAAAACAATGTCAGCACTAGTTCCTTTGGTGATGTCAATCCTTATGGTGGAACAGCAACTAAGATTTAATTTGATGCCCAAAGAGTACATAGGCTTTGCTTGCCCAGAGATATAAGCACTGGTTTAATTACTATGGGCTGATTATTCATGGATATTATTCTTTTACATCGTATCTGGCCACCTGACAGGGGAAAAGAGAATATATTCACCTATTATTAAGGTTTTTTTTTAAATTATTTAAAATTTTGGGGGAAATATTGATTTCACTTCTTTTTTCTTCATTAACAGATGACTGAAGACTCATTACTGATATGTTTTTCTCTATGACATTTTCTGTTGATTTCCCATTATTATCCAACTTTTCTGATAATATGATTTCTTTACTTGGGCTATTTACAACTACTTCTGAGTTTCTAATGGTTTCTAGTACTTCAGATAAAATAAGTGATTTGTATGTTTTATCAGCTATAATATTCTATTTTAAAGGTGGCACAAAATAAGCTAGACTAATTGAAGAAATATTATCAGTTATTACATTTCACATTGGAAGGACAACCTGAAGACAAGATTCTATTGCTTTCATTAAGCATTCCTCATGGCAGAAAAAAGGTAATTAACCATTACTGACCTTTTATTAAGCCAAATTTAATGTATATTCTGATAACAGATTGCTATATCTCTGACACAGTTACAAGAGTCAGTCTGATGTAATTTAGATGTCAGTGCTGAAATTTCTATATATTTCAGTAATCTGAGGGCAAATATACTGCATTCTTAATCCATTTTGTTCTGTCATACCATATTGGAACACCTATAAAACCACAATATATAATATATAACTTAATTATATAATTACAATAGCTATAATATTAATATACATAAGCTGCAGATTATTACTTCCTATCTAATGTATTTGTGTAAATTTTGTTGAAATAGTCAGACTTGAAAATTTTTAATTTAATGGGTTAAGATTGGGACAGTCCTATACAATCTGATTGATGGTTGGTTATTATAAAAGTTGACTGGTAATTAAGCTAGGTTCTGCCCTTTGATGAGTAGATTAAAAGTAAAAAGCGAAACAAATAGAAGTAACAACATAGAATAATTTTTTCTTATAATACTGGAGGAAGAAAAGGCATTTTTAGGTAAAATGCTATAAAAACCAAGAAACTAGAAAATCAAAATATGTGACTACATAAAAATAAAAATTATTGCCAGCAAGGCAATCAATTAATAAAAAAAAAATGGATGTGATGGGGGGGCTGAGGTTGTGGCTCAGTGGTAGAGCGTATGCCTAGTACATGCAAGGCGCTGGGTTCAATCCTCTGCACCACATATAAATAAATAAAGAAAAGGTATTGTGTCCAACTACAAAAAAAAAAAAAAAAAAAAGGAATGATGGTAAAGGTCTAACTTCTTTAGTATATATAAGTACTTCATTAATAATGTAGTCACTTTTAACAAAAAGACAATAAGAAAAAAAATCCAACAACTGAGAGGTAAATGGACAAAGACCAACCATTTCATATAAAAAGAAGCTCAGGTTTACTCACATTAAATAAATTCAAAATATATGAGAAGTTCTCACAGAACTGACTGTAAGGATGAGAAAGTTTGCTAGTCCACTTTGGAGAGAGGTTGGAGAACAAAGATCTAATATATTATTGATACAGCTTCTTTAAAAGATGAGCTAAATATTTTGACAACAGCTATCAAAATTGGACACATTATCTTTTGACCCACCTCTTCCATGTCTAGAAATTTAACCTACACAGTATTTTAAAAGTTGCAAGATATTCATTGTAACAATAGTTTTTTCTCACATTTATTGTTGGTGCATTGTAGTTGTGCATAATGATGGGATTTGTTGTTACACATTCATATTTGCACGCAATGTAAACAATATAATTTGGCCAGCATCACTCCCCAGAACCTCCTGTAACATTAAACAAGTTACCATGAACCTAAACAAATCATGTCAGTAAGGGTCCAACTAAATTATGGAACGTCCATACATTAGAATTCAATGCAACTTTAAACAAAATGAAGTAAAACTATGTGTGCTGTTAATAGCTGGATCACTGCTATGACCTTTAAGCTTCAGAAGTTTTCAACTGTGTTGCTATATAGCATTAAAAAAGTACATGTGAATATGTATTTCTAGAGAAATTAAAACTGAAGCTGGGCATAGTGGTGAGGCGCCTGTAGTCTCAGGACTCAGGAGGCTGAGGCAGGAGGATCACAAGTTGAACACCAGCCTCAGCAATTTAGTGAGGGCCTAAGTAACTTAGTGAGACCTTGTCTCTAAATAAAATACGAAGAAGGACTGGAGATGTGGCTCAATGGTTAAGTGCCCCTGAGTTCAATCCCTAGTACTAAAAGAAAAAAATTAAAAACCGTCTTTGAGAGTGAAACCTGGTCAGGAAGGGAAAATTATTTAAAATTATCATAAACCATTTTTCAATTTTGAAAAAAAAATAGTGGGACACAAAAACTAGTGGGCAATAGATAACCTACCTTGGATCTTGGCCATTTGATTTAAATACTAAAAGTTTTATCTGTGGCATGGTACTAGAATGAACAGATTTACCTTGGCTACTGAAGATGCTTTAAAATTACTGAAGCACAGGGAGTACTATGCCTACATACATATATGTGTGTAAGTGTAATAGCACAATACTGCTTTTTGATGGTTTTTAGATTCTGTCACTTTTAGGGCTCAAAGCAAGGACTCAGTCTGAAGCCAGACTGCTGGAGTTAGAATTCCAGCTCTGCTACTTATTAGCTGTGTGACTTTAGGCAAGTTACTGAATTTCTCTACCTCATGTTACTCATCTACATAAAAGAACTAATCCTGTGATTGTGAGGATTACATGAATTAACAAATGTTAAATGCCAGGAACACAGTATATCCACTAGACATGTTACATGATATGCACTAAACAGTATGCCCCAAATATAGTCTCAAGCTTTTTCTTATGTCAGAACTCACTTATCTTGTCGTAAGTGCTACTAAGTATGGCAAGGGAGTAGAAAGCCAGGAGTGAATTAGTAGAAATGAAAGCAGAAAATAGATTCTTTAGAGTTGAGTTAATGCCCCTCTAAACTATTCTGACAGTTTAATTCTCTACTTATTATAATTATATTTATAGTTACCTTAGCCATTCTTTTTCCATTTGACTATAAAATTGAGATAAGGAAGTATGAGTAGCTTGTGAGCTAGGAATTTATCAGAAGACTGACCAATGTTATTATCTCTTGCAGACAGTCCTACAGTGTAGGGGAAGCAATGGAGGAACTTGTAGGACCAAATGGACAAAAATGGGCAAATATGGATCCAGAAGAACGAATGTTAGCAGCTGCTACCGCATTTACCCATATCTGTGCAGGGCAGGGGGAGGGAGATGTCAGGAGAGAAGTCCAATGTAGCCAGTACGATCCCTACAGTAAAGCTTCAGTAACCCCAGGGAAGCGACCTGCTTTTCCTGTACAACTGCAGTACTCACAGATAGAAAGTCATGCCACATCAGAAACGGTCTCAGAGGCTTCCCAAAGACTCCGAAAGCCAGTAATGAAGAGAAAGGTGCTTCGTAGAAAGCCAGGAGGAGAAGTATTAGTGACAGATGAGTCAATTATCAGTGAATCAGAATCTGGTGGAGAAACTGATCTGGATCTCTGGGACTTAAGACAAAGGTTGATGAATCTGCAGTTCCAGGAAGACAGGGAATCCTCAGTTGATACTTCACAAAATGTTAATCTACCACATGAGTACCAAGGAATTTCACAAGATCAGCTCATTTGTTATCTTCAAAGAGAAGAAATGGGCCCTCCAGCTTATGAACAAGATCTGATTGTTGCCAGCAGACCCAAGTCCTTTATTCTCCCAAGGCTGGACCAGTTAAACCGAAACCGGGGCAAGATAGACCGGGTAGCTCGATATTTTGAGTACAAAAGAGACTGGGACTTAATGCGGTTACCTGGTGAAGATCATAGGAAGGAGTTACGCTGGGGTGTCCGAGAACACATGCTTTCCCAAGCAGAACCCCAATCCAAGCCTCAGCATGTATATGTTCCAAACAATTACCTAGTACCAACTGAGAAGAAAAGATCTGCCCTTCGTTGGGGTGTTCGCTGTGACCTTGCAAATGGTGTCATGCCCAGGAAGCTTCCCTTCCCTCTTTCTCCTTCTTAAAGTCTTTTTTCTTGTTTCTCCTTTCACAGGATTGTTTAGGATAACCTGCTTCTTTGTATCTCCTTTTAAATAGAAACGACTTGAAAAGCCCAGAGAACACTGTATAGAATAAAAACTTCACCCATCATTGGTAGAAAAACCAGGTGGGGAGGTATAGCTTTATATCACATAGGTATTAAACATCACTTAACTTTCAATTTACCACTCAAGGGCAGCAATTGCATGAGAATATCAATGCTAGAGAAAGAAAACCTACCTTTTCTTTGTATTTTGTCAATTTAGTAAGCACCAATTTCTGTTCAATAACCTTTTTACCTTGAGGCAGTGTGGATTGCTGTGTTCTAATGTGTTTTTAAAGTTGGTGGGCATTAAGCTTATCAAAGAATTTTGGAAATTCATGAGCTTGAACCTTATGAAGTATTCCCAAGTAAGACCCTAGACCTTACTCACCATCTAAATAAAAGCCAAAAAAATAAAAGAAACTTGCCTTTATAGTCCTAAAGGACGGGAGACGGGTAATGGCATAGATAACCCCATTATTAAATTCTAGTAAATACAGGTACTTTTAAATAGATGCCCTAAAACAGTTATTATGACACAGTATCCTAACCCAAGTTTTCAGGAATTATTTCAATTAGATATTGTTCTGGAATACCATGCTTTTTATAATTTTTATAAAAATTTTATGTTTTATAATTTTTTAATTTTCTTTGGAATTATGCCTGTCATTTGAAGACTATTTCTACTCTCAATAGAACTTCAAAGTATACCTGGAATCAGATTTAAATATCAAAGTGAATCTGGACTGTTTTGAGTTCAGATCAAATAAAAATTGTGCTCATCTTATATTGGAACTTAGTTCTTATTTCTTATTCAATGAAGAATATCTAAAATGTGGAAGTTGTCAGTTTTAGCACTTGAGGCCTGAAGGGTGACAGCAGAAAGGAAGAAAATGTATAATAATAGTAAAATGACCCTGACCACTACTATCTGCTAAAACGCATTCTGCATATTTCAGACTACATGATACATTTGCCCAGTTCCATTATTAGACACTTCGTGACTCAGATACAGGTAGAATATATCTATGACATTAGAATGTCACAGAAGGTAATGGAAAAAATGCAAACAAGTAAAGCAAACCTACAGCAGCATCTTAGTCATACACAAGCAAAGCACTGCAGGGGGTGAGTGGGGGAACAACTAAAACAACTCTGGGTAATGGGATTAAAGGTAACTCAGTTTTTCAAAACTAAAAATTATAGGGTGATGTTTTAGAGAAAGTAATTTACCTTTATCAAAAAGTTTCCAAAGTAACTAGACAGGCAAGTGGTCATTAAGCAGATTTATGATAAAAAAAGTTCTTGAGCCCCAGACTCAATTTTTGACTAAGTCTAGAGCTTTTTTCCAGTACACCACACCCTTCTGAGAGTGAAATATAGTAGTTCCCAGGCAGATGTAACAAGTGGGAGGGGCGCGTAAATTACCATAAAGGAGATTCTTGGGTGCGCTTGTCATGAATAGCCACCATCAGGCGTTCAATACCTTTTAGATATTCATAAAGGGATCTTAATCTTGAAAACAAGAACAAGTGGAATGGCAGAAACACCATTCCTCGTGATAAAACAATGGGAGTTGTTTTATCTAACGGGAGTTCGAAGAAAAGCCCAAAGGATTAGGGGACAAGGAGGACGATCACTTAATACTTAAAAGCAAGTGTGGTGTATAAAGCAAACCCCCAAATAACGTGAAAATTTCCACGACTCCCTCCCATCCCAGACTACTGGGCTTCCAACTTCTGTTTACTTTTTGAGCAAACAATTCCACTAGTGCAAAAAAGAGTCCACGGTCCCTCTAAACTCAAGCCCCTACGGATGGGACTTTCTGCCAGGAACTCCATAAATACAAGATTTACGAAAAAAGACCCTAAACCTAGTCCCACTTCTATACACCAACGCCTTCCAGAAGAGTATGGGAAAATGCAAAAATGAGAAAACACCCTACAGCTGTGCGTCCCCTTGCTCCTACCCGGTTAGAACCCAGAAAGCAACCCACCACACAACCCACGCTCACCTTCCGGCCGTCGGCCGCGCGCCCTCAGCGAGACCGGAAGCTGTCACTTTTCACCGCCTATGTGGGCTGAGGCCTTATGGGAGGTGCCGCCGCGGGTGTGGGAAATGTAGTTCTAGGGCCCGGGTGCGGCTCAAACCCAAAATCACCTCCGGGGAAGATTTTTAAAGCAACCACCGTTTTTCCACCCCGACAAGGCATCATACGGAGCCTATTGTATACAAGAATAAAAGGAGGAATTCTAGTGCTGCGCTAAAACAGTAAATAAGAGGTGAATTTCAAATATCTGCTCTCCTTATACGAAAATTGAGACTGCAAATTTTGGCCCGATTTTGTATCTTTTTAACTAGCAGATAGTTATCCGTGAGAAAGTAAAGTATTTACTATTGCAATGAAGTGTAAAGGCTAAAAAGGAATATTATAAACCTCAAAACAAACGTCTGAAAAGCCCTGACACTGACGGAACAGAGCTTGGGGGTGCTACTTCAGCACCACGGAGAGATCATGAAGACAGTTTTGTTTGTGGGTTTTTGTGAATTTACCCCCAATTCCAGAGATGCCGACCCAATGCTCGAAATTCCACAGGAAACTGGGGAGCACGGGGTGGAGGAGACCTGGTTCTTTTGTCCAAATTTAGCAGTCGCTAGTTCAAGGATTTATTCTGGATTATGCAAATACCTGTGGCCAATTAAGGTTGTACCTAACTAAAGGAAAGACGTTTTCTCTGGGTTGCTTTAACAAAGGACATCTCGGAATAAAAATCAAATTAGGCCGGTATCGGGGAACTTTACAGCTATCTAGAGCAGGGAGTTGAACTCTGCAACTTTCGCATTCGAGCTCATTCATTCAGGTCAAACCCATTTTGTCCCTCTACTTTCCTATGCAATTCGCTAAGCCTATCTTACATTTTGTGATGTGCAGGAGATATTCAGTGAAACAGAGATATGAAACCCTGAAGCAGGGTGTGGGGCACAGCCTCTTCACCGGGAAAATTGCTGGGTAGTGGGTCCCAAGCTGTTGGTGGTTCGCTTAACAAAGGACAGCACCGGGAGAACATTGACCACGGTGATGTCCCCTCCGCAGTTTCTAACACCTGGCGCGAATGACTGGCTAGTCAAACCCCAAAATCGCGAATCAATACAGCGCTTCAGTGCTCTTTATCGTCTTCCCTCACGCTCATCCTCCGCCCCGCTCCCTCCGCCCCCTCCGCGCCTAAGCCCAGGCGCCTGCGCGCTGCATTGCGGGTGGTCGAGGGGGATGAGCCTGCCCCCTGAGCAAGCCCATTGGCCACCGAGTGGCGCTGGGCCCAGCCTCGAGCCTGGGGTGGAAGCACGTGCTGGGGGCGGGAGCAGCGATCGCAGCTATGGCGTCGTTACTTTGGGGAGGCGACGCAGGGGCTGCGGAGAGCGAGCGGCTGAACAGCCACGTAACCGCCACCGAGCAGGGGAGGGCAGAGGGGCGGGGGCTATAGCAGGAACTCCCAGAGGGAAATCTAGACAAGGAGAGCCCTGCTAGCTTTTGAAGTGGGGTGTCAAATGGTGGAGGGGAGATGTGGAATGGGTTTGGAAGAGGGCCACAGAAAAGGAGACCCACAGGGAGAAAAGACCTTTGGTTTGAAAGGGCAAAGTGAAGATACCTGGAAATCCAGGGAGGGAAAGCAGCTGGGAGTCCTAACTAGACTCTTTTGAGTTTTCTACTGTAATTTGACTATTAAGCTAATTTCTGTCTTGTATCTGCCAACGCACTTTCTTAGCCACTAACATCTTGTCGGCGCTGTGATTCCCAAGTACTGCCTACGTGTAAAGTTGAGGCCTAATAAAATGGAACTGCATGGTGCAGGGACTACAGAAAATCTCCAGTTTTAGGATAGTTCGTACGGGGAATCTATACTTGAAATGAACCCATTAGTCGATATCATTGCAAAGGAAATAGTTATGGAGTGATCTTCCCTGAACCCCTCCAGTCCCTGTTGTGGGGAAGCACTGGGCTGCCTGATGATTTGCTTAATTTTGGTTGAAATTTGTGTCTTTCAATAGTTTTCAAATCTCATCCACCCCCGGAAGAACCTTCGGGGTATTAAAAGTACCGCAGTCCCAAACATAGGTGAGTGCTATTAGGATACAGTGGTTAGTCTCGATTGATTACAAAGTATTGCTTTCATCATGTCCCTGCCAGCTGAAATACCTTTGGGTCCCTTAATATTTGAGACCCTACACTAGCTTCCCAATGATTTTATCCACTATCCCTATGATAACACTGTCCATATATACTGTAGACTTGGGGGGTATGGGGATAGTACTGTTTACATTTCTGCTCAGCATTTATCTTTGCATTCATTGTTTCTCTTCTGTTCTTTTAGATGGTTCTCTTAACATCGAAGATGATGATGAAGATGATATAGGTAGGAGATAAATGCGTTTGCATGTATTTACTAGTATTCTGTTTGGTTTATTATCACTTTCACAATGTGAATGAGTAATGTCGCAATTGGAAAGAGCTGTCTTCATTTCTATTTTCTTTATTAATAGTGAGTGTCTGAAGAAATACTAAATTAGGAGGAGAATATTTCTTTAGAGGAAGTTGGGATATTCAAGGAGTAGGTTAAGAATTTCTACTTAGCAAGTAAGAATGGTGGAGATAGATGTTGGTTTGCTTGAGGTTAGACGATGGTGTGGTGACAGAGCACAAGAAATTGGATCTTCATGAAAGAAGAAATTCTCAGTGCCATGTCATTCTTTCCAGAACCTTCTTGTAGAAGAAAGATGAAAGTAGGTTAGGTTTGATTGATTGGTAAACAACCACTGAATGGGAGAGAGCAACTTTTTAGATATTTTTCAGGAGGCTTGATGCCCTCCCCTTTTTTATTTTTGCTTTTCTAGTGGACTTGGCAACTAATTCACTCTTGAACAAGTTAATCCGTCAGTCCTTAGTAGAATCCAGTCATCGAGTGGAAGTTTTGCAAAAAGATCCCAGCTCTCCACTTTACTCAGTAAAAACATTTGAAGAGTTGAGACTGTGAGTATTTTAACTTTTTGGTATGGAAAAATGCTAAAGCATAGAACATAATAAACTATTCTGCTAATAATAAAAACCATCAGGATCTTGTTTTCTAATATTCAGTATTAAAATGAGATGTGTATGTTATGCATGCAACTAAGATGTACCTCAAAGAAGAACACCAAGATACACTAGTTGCCCAAGAAATTGAAACATTTTCTTTAGTAAAATATTTTAATTTTACAGCCCAAAGGGCGGCACAGCCATATTGCCATTCTACCTATGAGAATCCAAATACAGGGACATTGATGACTCAAACATCCTTCCTCACCAGCTTTATAAAAAGTTACAAGATTTTTCTTTTCTAATTATATTTTGTTTCAGATGGTATTAAAATTAATAACTTTCCCAAGTGGGTTTACATTCCCTAGGGATTTATCAGTTGTCTTAAGGAAATATATTTTAACAAAAAGAGAAAGTCACATATTACCAAACCAAGCCCTTGCCCATTGCACATGAATGGGGATGGCAAAACAGGCATCGTTTGATAACATTTTGACAAGCCAACTAGGAGGTAAATCCAGACATACCTTTTGTTCATGTCTTTTTGGCCACCAGCTACTGAGCTTCTTGTTCCAAGGACCATCCCTGGGACTTTCTGCTCTAAACACTACTGACCTTTGGCACATGATTTTACTTTTGCAATAGAGAAATGGTTTGGGGGTCTGGAAGGCATCTTATTCAGTGAATAATTTCAGTAAAAGTGACAGATTACCATTTCTCCTTCCTTCTGGTTTGGCCTTCAAGGCTCCTGGTTTGGGGGAACCAAATGTTTGAGTCCGTATGTTACCAAAGTCTTGGTTTGGTAACATATGGACTCATGTAAAAGGTAAAAAATCCAAAATCCCAATATCCAGATGTTTTCTATATATTGGGAGCCTGCATAATGATTAAAAAATTGTTTGACAGTCATCTATCAATTAATCTACCAATTAAGAACATCCAACTAGACAAATCACTAAAAGTGAAATTGTTCCAGCTCACTTGCTTTATCCTTATTCTAATATTTTTCTTAAGACTCCAGGAAAGATTCATTAAAAATACTGTCTTGGAAAGGATTACAAGTTCAAGGTCCACCTGGGCAATTTAGCAAAATCTTGTTTCAAAATAAAAAGGGCTAGGGATGTAGCTTAGTGGTAGAATACTTGCCTGGCATGTGCAAGGCCCTGTATTTTATCCCCAATATCACAAAGAAGAAAAAATAAAATACTATCCCAGAAGGATAAGGTAATATATAATAAGTCTGAGAGAATTGATAAAAGGATTATCTCAATAAAACTGTCTTTTCTGAAAATTGCTGTAGAAAACATCAGTGTCATTCATGCAAAAGAAATAACAAGTGTCACTTAGTTTTCTGTTTATGTGAAAAATATAACTCTCCTGGCAAACTAATGTATTTTTTTATCAAATGAATTCCCTTTTTGTTTTTTGGTTTTTTTAAATAGGAAGTTCAACTTTAGGTTTATAGCATAGCATATGATTTTAATGACCCAACTGTAGAGATGTGATTGTATGTGTTTGGGGAATTGAGGTATGAATGATATATTTCTAAATATTTTAAAGCTCAGTTGCAAAGTTGCTTAATTCATAAATATATTTTTCAAGTATGTATCTCTGAGGCTAATGACCAAGCATAGACTTTTTTTTAAGTGTTTTTTTTGTCGTTTACAGAAAGGAAGAATTACTAAAAGGAATCTATGCAATGGGATTTAACAGGCCATCCAAAATCCAAGAGATGGCTCTTCCTATGATGCTGGCACATCCGTGAGTTTCCAGGGTAGTGGTATTCCAAGTTGGTTATTTTTAGTCTTTTCTTTTTAATTTATGCCCAGGCTCTTGTATTTAGTTTATGCCCAGTGGTCTCCTCTTTCCTACAGTCCCCAGAACCTCATAGCACAGAGCCAGTCTGGAACAGGAAAAACAGCTGCCTTTGTCTTGGCAATGCTAAGCAGAGTGAATGCCTTGGAGTTGTTCCCACAGGTAAGGAAGGGCTTCGGGAAAGATAGAAGTCCTTGTAATGGCCATGATATTTTAATAATAGGTGGTATCATTGTAAATATATGATCACTGCAATGATAAAACAGTATGTGGAATGGCCATTCCTTCATAAAGTCCTAAGAGTATTGGGCAGCAGTATGGGACAAGTATAGTCCAAGGGGTTCCAATCCCTGCCTCTTCACTAATCAGCTAGCTAGGCAAGTTAAAATCACTCGGAGTCTGTTTCCTTGTCAGTAAAGATAGAATTTGTAGAGGCATGGATCATAGTTGATCTGTTCACCCCTGAATCCTAACATCTAGCCAATGCTTGGCTTGTAAAACCACTCATTAAACATTGTATGAATGAATGCTTTTCTCATAGGGTCATTGTGTGGATTCAGTGAAAGTCATTTTTAGCACTGTGCTTAGCATAAAGAAGATTTTTTAATAGCCAGCAAGAGGAGAAGGAGACCATATTCAGGCTGTGATTTGTTTTGCCTTCCCTCTAATTCCCATCTTTCCTACATCCCATTCTTTTATCAAATTACCCTTTAGAGGGGAATATGTAAAAATTAGCATTTTGGGCTGGGGATATGGCTCAAGCGGTAGCGCCCTCGCCTGGCATGTGTGCGGCCCGGGTTCGAGCCTCAGCACCACATACAAACAAAGATGAATCCGCCGAGAATTAAAAAAATAAATATTAAAAAAAAATTAGTATTTATCCATCCTTTAGTCCCTCCCCCCTCATGCCCAGCATTTACTTCAAACCTATTGACTGTTAAATTGTATTTGATTTAAAATATTTAATCCAAGCCTCCAAAGTCATCTTTGTGCCTCTCCCTGTACAAATTTTAATGGAAGTTCAAAATTGAACAATTACCTGTATGAATCTTTCTCCTCTCCTCTTCTCTCACAGTGCCTCTGCCTGGCTCCTACCTATGAATTGGCTCTGCAGACTGGCCGTGTGGTTGAGCGGATGGGAAAATTCTGTGTGGATGTTGAAGTGATGTATGCTATTCGAGGGAATCGAAGTATGTACCAGTAAGCCAGACCTGGCTGATTTTGAAAATCCTGACTTCACCACTAAAAAGAGTGTTCTAACTTCTCTGTTTTCTCATTTCTGAAGTGGGGTAAATAATAGCACCTGAATCATAGAATCATTATTAGAATTAGATGTTATAGATTGTTTTACACAATGCTTGAAACATAATTAGAATCCGTAAATATTAGCTACATCACATCCACATCCTGGAGAGGATGCCGTTGTGTATTGTTTTCTTTAAGACTCAGTTATCTTATGCAGAACATCTTTTATTTGGGGATTTTTAAAGTATTGCATGCTTATTGTGAAAAGAAACTTTAAAAGATAGAAGATTAGAAGATAAAAATTCAAAGACGTTCTTCCTTTCCTTCCAGAAACCTATCCCAAAAATAACTACGCTATTATTAATAGGCAAATGGTTCCTTTTTTCTTTTTCTTTTCTTTCTTTTTTTTTTTTTTGAGCTAATACAAGCACATACAAATGCTTATATATGTATTTGTTTTCACTGAGTATTTACAAAAAATGGGAGAACTTTTTTCACACTGCTCATTCTTTTTACTAGCTGAACAATATCCCACAATTTATTTAAAGAAACTTATTGATTGAAAACAACAAAAATGGTGACGGTTTCCACAGCTTTGCCAGTATTTCTTTAAGACAATAGAATTGCTGCATTGTGGATTTTTTGTTCGTTTGTTTTTGGTTTTGTTTTTTGAAGACATGGTCTTGCTTTGTTGCCCAGGCTGGTCTCAAACTTGTATGTTCAAGTAATCTTCCTATCTCAACCTCCTGAATAGCTAGGATTACAGGCACACTACCATGCATAGATTGCAAGGTGGATTTTTAAATGACCAAGCAGAAGAATCAAATATGCAAGACCTTTATTCCCATAAACCTAGAAACTTAGTAATTTTTCTTAACACTCTGCAAAATCAAAACCCATCCATGACCCTCAGAGTTTGCACTTGGAAAATTATTATGAACTTGCTTTTGTACTGAGGTCTAAGACACATTGCCCTGACCTGCATGTGGCCTGTTGGAATAAGACTGTTCACATCTGAAGGAACACTTAAAATCCTTTTTTTCCTAGTTCCCAGAGGCGCTGAAGTCACCAAACAGATTATAATTGGCACTCCTGGGACTGTCCTAGATTGGTGTTTTAAGCGAAAATTGATTGATTTGGCTAAGATTCGTGTGTTTGTCCTGGATGAAGCAGATGTGATGATTGACACCCAAGGATTCTCAGATCAGAGCATTCGTATTCAACGGTAATTTCCAAATTCATCCTTTCTTTTCTTCTTGGGTTTTCTGTCCAGATGAGGAATTTCATTTGTCTATTGTCCTAATTATTTTGATTACTTAATTTACCGTCTTTCCCTCTAAAACAAATTTGAGTTTTCATTATTTTCACCAGCACCTGGGATCTTCAAACTGCTATAATTTTCCAACTTCAGCTTACAACCTTGCCTCTCTACTTTCACAACACAGGCTTAGAGATGAAATCTGTACATTAGGTCTGCACCAAATTTCAGAGTAAACAGAATCTGTTAAAGGATCTATTGAGGATACAGTGGATGATTGGGATAGAATAAGGAACACAGCAACCTAAAAATCATAGGTTGTTTAGACTTGACTTTGCCTCTAATAAAATCTTATCATGAAAATAAAATCTTATCATTTTCCTAGGATTCTCTATCAGGATCACCTGAAGGACTTAAAATTACAAGATTACCAGACCCAACCTCAGACTTACTAAATCAGAATTTCTGGGAGGTGGGGCTTAGATATCTGTATCTTTTTTAAAAATAAAGTCATATTATTCAGGGTTAAGTTCAAATAGTATCAAAAGATTTGTGATGAAAAACAGTAACCCTCTGACCCAATCCCAAAGAATACCTCTGTTTTTCTGATATTAGCCTTCATCCTTTTAAATAATATGTTCACACTGCTATTTCCTTATATATATTCATTGTCTATCAACTTCCCATTATTAGAGGTGGGGCCTGAGTTCTTTTAGACCACTCTCCCTTTCCTGTCTCCTCTATCACCTCTCTGTGATTATGTCATCAGGATCTGGTTATATTAACAGTATTGATATCATTTTGACAGTATAAATACTGTTCACTTCTGAGCCAAGCAGTTGTTGTTGTGTTGTTTTTCTCCTAATCTTTTCCCCTAGAATTAATAATTGCCTTTTTTTCTTCATTTAGTATCACTATAGGGGTTTTAAGCTTTTCACTGGGTGTGTCTTCGTAAGTGCCATGTCAGTGGTATCTCCACATAGTCAAATACATTTTTTTTCTTTATTTACTGTTTCATATTAGTTATACATAACATTAGGATTCATTTTGACATAATTATAAAAGCATGGAATATTGTTCTAATTCAGTGCTCAGGACTTCCCCTAATCCTCCCTTCCTTCCTCCCCAGCCTTTACTGATTTTTCTATTATAGTTTTTTTTGTGTGTATGTTTGTATCTTGTAGGTATACATAATAATGAGATTCACTGTGGTACATTTATATATTTACACAGGAAAGTTAAGTCAGATTTATTCCCCTATTTTTTTCCTTTTCCTGTTCTTGCCCCCTCCCCCTCAATCCCCTTCCTTTACTCCACTGATATTCCTTCTACTTTTATGGAATTCCCCTCCCACATTTCTTTTAAGGCTAAAAACAAAAGATTTTTTAACTTTAATATTCAGTTAATAGTCTCAGCTTCCAATGTCATTGCTGAAAATTTGAATATCATCCTGATCTCCAAGCTTTTGAGTGTGCCCTTCCCCCCCCCCTCTTTAGAAGTTTTGGGGGGTCTTCTCTCTCCTCAGTATTCTGAAACTTCTCAGTGACATGCTTTGGTTTATTTCTTACCTTAGACATATAGTATACCCTTTCATTCTCAAAACTTTTGCTTGTCATTTCTGGGGAAATTTTTTAGGTTATTTCTTTTTCGAGTCAGTCAATCCAGAACACAATCATAGCAGACAAAAATTAAATAAAAATAAGAGAAATAATTACACACATGTTATAGTTTAACATAAAAATATGAAATGAAAAACATGTTTATTTGAAAGTGAATCCAGTGCTTTTTCTATTATATAAATCCTACTATTTAAACAAAATAACAGTATAATTAGTTTACAGTAGTAATTAATAGAATTTTGTGAGAAAATATAGCAATATTTTATAATGTTTTGGTCTCTGATGCAACAGTGTATTTCAACTCTATTTAAACTCACTGTAGGATGTTTATACTTTGTAGGTAATATTATTGTGTGCTCTTAAGATTCATAAACATGGGGCTGGGGTTGTGGCTCAGCGGTAGAGTGCTCACCTAGCACATGTGAGGCCCTGGGTTTGATCCTCAGCACCACATATAAATAAATAAATAAATAAATAAATAAATAAATAAAAGGTATTGTGTCAATTACAACTAAAAAATATTTTTTTAAAAAAATTCATAAACATAAGTCTTCTTACAGGAGAACATAAATACAATAATAATAAATAGAGATTACCTATACTTAATTTAAAATGACATGGTTCTTTCTCAGTAAATTTTTTTTTCTCTCATTCTTTTTTTCTTTTCCAATGATATTTTTCTGAACTGCCTATAGTCTTTTTTTATGGGGTGGTAATGCTGAATATAGTGAAATGTAAACTTCTATTTTGACTTGCAGCTCTGTGCCTGTCAAAGTCATACTGATTAGTATCAGTCTGATTTGATGACATCAGATTTGATTTGTAATTTCTGGGGAAATTTAGTTAAAATTTAAAAGTTAAATATCCTCTTAAGAAAAATGTTTGAGCATGGAATACTAAGGATTTTACTTACTGGCAACAGAAGGTTTTTATTTCCATTTGTTAGTTTTTGCAATTTAATTCTCTGATTGTTTTACTTATTTTTACAACATTTTTGAGGTATAATTGACAAATGAAGAATCATATATAATTAAGTTATATAACATAGTGTTTTGATGCATATGTTTACATGCACACACATTTTAAAATGATTACCATACTTAGGCTAATTAGCATAACCATCACTTCATGTAGATACTCTGTGTGTGTTGTGTGTGTGTGAGTGTGTGTGTGTGTTGAGAACTTTTAAGATCTTTCAGACTTGTTAGGATTATTTTGTAGCTCTCTAGAAATGGCCATCCCAGTTTATTTAGGTAGACCAGCTCTTTGTCATTCAGATCTCTTACATCTATAAATTCATCAGATAAGCTATCCACATCTAAAATACCCTTCATTTTTAAATACTCTGCAGTACTAGACATCTCTTTCTCAAGGAAAATGGTTTTAAAAGCACAGAGGTTATTTAATCTTTGAAATTAAAGATGGGTTCCAAGTAAATTACACTTTTGGTAAACAGATGATTATAGATTGAATAGAATTTGTCATAATTTACATTGGCACTACCTACTGCATAAACATATAGTCAAAGACTAGTTTGGATCTGAGCACCATGGCACATACCCATAATCCCAGCGACTCAAGAGGCTGAGGCAGGAGGAATACAAGGTCAAGGCCAGCCTCAGCAACTTAGTGAGGCCCTAAGCAACTTAGTGAAAACCTGTCTCAAAATAAAAAAATTAAAAGGGCCGAGGATGTAGCTCATTGATAGAGCACTTCTACACTAAAAGGTGAGTCATCTATAATCAGCATCCCCCATTTGTTCACCCACAGGACATTTTACATGCCTCCTCTGAACCAGGAAATCTGGCTGTACTCCGTTTTATAGAGATATCAGGAGAACAATGCAATAATGCGAATCATTTGTTTGGTATGCCAAGCTAAATCAGGGTCTACTGTTTACAATTGAACACTGGTATCTTTTGAGGAGGCCAAATTTAGAAATTCAGAAGTACTGCCCATCTCATTTTAAAGTTGTGAGATTCATTTTTCAGATATGCTATTCACATCCCATCCACCATGCCCAATCCCAAATTCTTTCCTTCCAGTGGTGTATTATGCTCTGTTTTAATTATTTACCTTTAGCTCAATTGTGTTAACCTCTATCTGTCATTGAATTAACACAGTTGTTTAGCTTTATTTTTCTGTTTGTCTGGATCATACTGATGTTGTCCATTTTTATTGTTTATGTTAACATTAGAATTTTTTTTTCTGTTTTCAACTTTGTCTCTGAATTATCTAGGTTTTCTTTTTTGTTTGCTACATCTCTGTCCTTCACAGTGGACCTTTCCTCTTTATAACTAATGAATCTTGGCCAGCCTTTCATAATCTAAGATGAGGAATAAAATTCTAGTTGACAGCCTTGTATGCATGGCTGGGGCTTGTAATTTGGGAAGCTTCAGTGCTTTGGGATGGTTGTCATCTGGACTTTAATTTCCCTGGAGCTTGACCCTTAGTTTCTGGCATTTGAAGGGCAGGGTTGGGGAACCAGCTGAGGAGATTCTGCCTTTCAATATACATATTTTCATTTAATCCCTCTTTTTGGCTGTGTGCTTTGCCCTCACCTTCTACTGATGCTGGCATCCCCAACTCTAGGATTTCTGCACAGAATAAACCTCTGATCTTTTGTTAGTATATGCTTAGCTGCCTAAAGTAAAGGGATCCAACTTCTCATTCATATTAAAAGTGATTTTGGCCAGAGATCAAGGGAGACTCCCTCCTTGCCATACTCCTACTAATACATTAGTATTCTTATAAGTGAAAGGAAGTGAAAGATTTAGGACTTCAGGAAAGATTCAGTATGAAACTGGCTTTCTAACAAAGTCCTTTTTATTTTCTACTCAAGGGAATATTGCACATAATGCATCCCACTATGAGGTATAATTATAAATGCACCAATAAAAATTTTGGACCACATGGTTGCTCACACATAATATAGCTAAGGTACATTATCTTAGATAAAACTTACCGTGTTTTAATTTTACAAGTTCAAAAACTTAATAATACAATTTTCATTTCTGATGTCTTTGAATAAAACAAGGAACAAAAGCAAAAAAAGGAGAAAATATTGTGTAATAATTAGAGCACTAATTATTGTGTAATAATTTATGTTGGGTTTTGTGTGGGGGGGGCTTAAAACATGATTAATGTCCAATTAAACATCATGTGAAAAACATGAAATTTTAATTTTCTAATAGCCACGTTAAAAAGAAACAGGTGAAATTAATATTTATTTTGTTTAACCCTAGGTATCAAAATATAGTCTCCATAAGTAATTTATTAAGGTTTATTTTTTATACTAAGTCTTAAAAATCCAGTGTTCTATAGAATAGCTCAGAATTTTCTTTCCTTGTATTAATGTGTTCAGAATTTTTCCTTGGAATGAAATGGCCAGGCCTTAGAATCCCAGTGTTTATGCCATCTTTCTCCAGATGAAGAGTTGGGACACAGCAGATGGCCAAGAAGCCCCGGCATATGAATGCAGAATTTTCCTAGTGTCTTGTAACATGCACCCCATTTTCAGTCTTTTCCCTCTAAGAATCTGGAGCTTGCAAGTCCCAGAGCTTTGATGGTTGTGAGGGAATAGCTGGCTACCTTTTCATCAGTTCTCTGCTCTGCAGCACTCATATTCTAGTTTCATTCTCTTTCTGTCTTACCACTCCTTTCTCTCTTCCAAAAATACATTAAAATATCATGTCCATCAGTTTTCTCCTCTCATAGTCTCCATGTTTTGTGTGGATTACTTTTATCTCACATTAGTGAGATATAGACAGCTGAGAAGGTAACACATGTAGATGAATTGTCACAGTTGACTGGAATCTGATTAGATGGTTTTTTTTTTTATTTTATTTGCTTATTTTCAGATCATTATTTTAAAAAGCTGCCCAGATGATCCAGGCTTCAGGCTTAAAGTAGTGTTTGGGAATTGCTGAACCATATAGTCTCTCACAGTCCCTGTTAGCACTCAGAGTTTATTGTTCCAAGTATTCCATGTTCATCTTGAAAGAGGTGATTCTCTGACCTAGCTTATTTATTTTATTTTTTTTAATTGACATTTTTAGTCTCCACATATAGCAAGATCATGTGACATGTCTTCCCATTCCTGGTTTACTTAACACAGTGATCGCCGCTACCACCCACGTTGTCGTAAATTACAGGATATCCTTCTTTCTAAGCCTGTATAGTATTCCATTGTGTGTGTGTGTGTGTGTATATACCATTTTTTCTTTATCCATTGTTGAGTGTTTCCATTTCTTGGCTATTGCCAGTAGTGCCACAGTGAATATGGGAGAAAAGATCTCTCTACACACTGATTTCCCACTACCTGGTAGTGATATTGCTGCATAAAGTGATAGTTCTGTTTTTAATATTTTTAGGACCCTTCATACTAGTTTTCATAATGACTATACTTGAAAGTTGATCTCACAGAAGGTGAGAGTAGAATGTTGGTTACCAGAAGCTGGGGAGAATAGGGTTTGGGGAGTGGTGGGGAAAGCTTGATCAATAAATACTAAATTACACTTAGGAACAAAAAGTTCTAATGTGCTACTGGACAGCAGCATGACTGTGGATAGCAGTAATATAATGTATATTTTGAAAAGCTACAAGAAAGGATTTTGAATGTTTTTACCACAAAGAAATGATAAGTGTTTGAGGGGATAGATTTTTTTTTTCTTAATTTTTTTTTCTTAATTTATGCCTGACAGTAGAATTCATTTTGACACATCATACATAAATGGAGTATAACTTCTCATTCTTCTTGTTGTACATGGTGTAAAGTTACACCAGTAGGGCAATCATATATGCACATAGAATAATTATGGCTGATTCATTCTATCTATTCCTAAACCCATACCCCCTCCATTCCCTTCACTCTCCTCTGTCTAATCCAAATAAAAAAGGTACTTTACTCCCTGGCCACCTCCCTTATTATGAATTATCATCTGCATATCAGAGAAAACATTCAGCCTTTGGTTCTTTGGGATTGGCTTATTTCAGATGAGATTGGGTGCGTTCAGGGCGGTATGGCCGTAGACTCATTTCAATCAGCATGATATTCTCTGTTTTCATCCATTTACTGGCAAGTGCCATAATTTCATTCTTCTGTAAGGCTGAGAAATATTCCATTGTGTATATATACCACAGTTTCTTAATCCATTCATCTGTTGAAGGGCACCTAGGTTGGTTCCATAGTTTGGCTATTGTGAGTTAAGCTGCTATAAACATTGATGTGGCTGCATCACTGTAGTGTGCTGATTTGAAGTCCTTTGGGGATAAAATGAGGAGTGGGATAAGTGGGTCAAATGGTGGTTCCATTCCAAGTTTTATATGAGTGTACAAAACAATGTATGAGTGTACTTCCCTGCCCCCATCCTCACCAACATTTATTGTTGCTAATGTTCTTGATGATTGCCATTCTAATGGGAGTGAGATGGAATCTCAGTGTAAAATTTTTATTTGCATTGCTCTAATTGCTAGAGATGATGAACTTTTTTAATATATTTGTTGATCAATTGTATTTCTTCTTATGTGAAGTAAGTGTCTTTCAGTTCCTTAGCCCTTTTATTATTTGGGTTATTTGTTTGGGGGGTATTTAGTTTTTTGAGTTCTTTTTATATCCTGGAGATAAGTGCTTTCTCTGAGGTGCATGTGGTAAAGATTTTTACCATTCTGTAGGCTCTCTCTTCACATTATTGATTGTTTCATGAAGAATCTTTTTAGTTTGAATCCATCCTATTTATTGATTCTTGATTTAACTTCTTGGGCTTTAGAGACTTGTTAAGGAAGTCAGTTCCTAAGTCATGGTGATAGAGATTTGGGCCTACTTTTTCTTCTATTAGGTGCAAGGTCTCTGTTCTAGTGCCTAAATCCTTGATCCACTTTGAGTTGATTTTTGTGCAGGGTGAGAGATAGGGGTTTAATTTCACTTTGCTACATATAGATTTCTAGTTTTCCCAGCACCATTTGTCAAAGAGGCTATCTTTTCTCCAATGTATGTTTTTGGTGCCTTTGTCTAGTATGAGATAACTGTATTTATGTGGGTTTTTTCTCTGTGTCTTCTGTTCTGTATCATTGGTCTACATGTCTATTTTGGTGTCAATATCATGCCATTTTTGTTATTATGGATCTGTAGTAAAATTTAAGTCTTATTGTGATGCTTCCTACTTCACTTTTCTTGTTAAGAATTGCTTTGGCTATTCTGGGTCTCTTATTTTTCCAGATGAGTTTCATGATTGGAGATAGATATGTTTAACCTGTTTTGAGCATTATATAACATACATATTGAAACATCACATGGAACTCATTAATAGGTATAATTTTTATGTTTTCACGTATCAGTTAAAATAAATTTTAATTTTTTTAAAAGTTGACATTTTATTGACGTGTAAAATATGTACAGAGAAATAAAAACGAATTCCAAGTGTACTAGTGAGTAAACTGTCACTCGAAGCCTCATCCATGAAACAATAGCTCAGACCAGGAAATGATATTTATTTATCAGCACCCCAGGAGTCCCCTGGAGACCCTTTCCTATCACTAGCCCATTTCTCTTCCTCAGGATTAACCTCTTTCCTGACTGCTAAGTCCTTGGATTCATTTCTCCTTTGTTGGGATTTTATATAAACTATCCCTTTATTTCTGATGGGCTCAGTATTATTTTAGTTACTGCTCTTTCCCCTTTTGCCCCCCTCTTATTTATCTATAGGTTCTCCCCATTCCAAATCAAATTGGTAGTGATTCTTTCCTTCCCAAGATACATATAACACCAGCCATTGAACAACTAGCCTGTATTTTCTTTATTCCCATTTATGTGCGTGTACACCACCCCTCTTGGCTCTGTGAGTCTGCCTCACCTAAGGAGGAAATTGGCATGAGAAACATCAGGTCCTCTGGAGTGTATACCTAAACTTTTTTCTTAGCTCCACCTTCCAGTAATGTGCTTTTCCAAATTCTTGGTGACAAAGAGGGGCAGGACATTTGGCTATTTGGCTGAAGGTGTAGCTTGTCATTGCAGGTAGCACCTCATGCCCTGCAGGTGCACATGGAGCAGCTGGTGGCAGTGGACCTGCAGTGCTGGGAGGAGAGGAACATCCTGGCAGCTGGGTGACAGCATCTTCTCTTTTTACAGAGCTTTGCCCTCTGAATGCCAGATGCTTCTGTTCTCTGCAACATTTGAGGACTCTGTGTGGCAGTTTGCCGAGCGAATCATTCCTGACCCTAATGTTATCAAGTTGCGCAAAGAAGAGCTGACCCTGAACAACATCCGACAATATTATGTGTTGTGTGAGGACAGGAAAGACAAATATCAAGCTCTGTGTAACATTTATGGTGGCATCACCATTGGCCAGGCCATCATCTTCTGCCAGGTAAACTTGCTGGATGTGTCTTCATTGGCCCTCATTTCCCTACAGATAGAGGTAGGGGGGTGGTAATATTAACAGGTGCCAGGTAGACAGGCACCATGTTCAACACTTATTATGTGTTATCTAGTTGAGTCTTCAGAGCAGTTCTGAATAGAAATGATTTATATTTTAGGGTGAAGCTTAGAAAGGTTAAGGTATGGAACAGGATCTTCAATATGATGCTAAATGAAGGTCTTTCATATTCTAATTTTTCCCCATTTAGATAGGTGTTTATTGTAGTTTTTATAGATACTCCTTATCAGGTTAAGGATGTTGCTTATGAATTTTGCCGTTTTTATTTTCATGTTTATTTTTTGCTGACTTTTTCACACTTGTGTTTTCTTTTCTCACTGTCACTTAAACACACTAAGGCTTCATGAGAGTAAGGTTTCATCTATCTCATTCATGTCCATATTCACTGTACTGGACTGGCACCTGCCAGTGGACAGCACTGAAGACATAGAATAGAAGAAAGCTCAGCTGTGCCAGAGCCTGACCATATAACCTTGGACAAGTTACCTAACATTTTTAAGCATTGGGTTTTTTGTTCACTTTCAAATTTGTTGGATGAAGTTAGGTCACTACTTCATGAAAGTGTTGTATAAACACATGCCCATAATGTATATAAAGATATTAACCAGGTTCCTGGCACATATAAAGCGCTTTCAGAGTGTCCATTGTTCATAATAAATGAAAACATTATAATGTAATACATTATATCGTTTTGTCGTCATAGCACCATATGAGGTAGGTGCACCATGTTTGTCTTTGTTTCGTGGATTTAAGGAGGTGATGTTTAGAAACCCAGGTGGTAGGAGAATCCCATTCCACATTCTAAGAGTCCTTGAGGTTTGAGAGAGCCATGAAGCACAATTTCTCTGCAGCCCTCTCCCTCCTGCCCTCCCACCCCCTACCCTGATCCAGGAGCATCAAGCATCACAGGCACAGCCAGTCTGCTGTAACCAGGGGTGCTGTGGTGGGTTTTGTTTTTTATATAGACGCGTCGAAACGCCAAGTGGTTGACCGTGGAGATGATGCAGGACGGCCACCAGGTGTCCTTGTTAAGTGGGGAGCTGACAGTGGAACAGAGAGCTTCCATCATTCAGAGGTTTCGGGATGGGAAAGAGAAGGTTCTTATAACGACCAATGTTTGTGCTCGAGGTGTGTGTGTGTGTGTGTGTGTGTGTATATGTGTGTGTTTGAACCCTATACTGCCAAAAAAAAAAAAAAAACCCCACAGGTGTTGAGGTATAAGTTACACAAGATAGCAATTCAAATCTTTAAGTGTACAGGAATACACTTGAGTTTTAACAAGCATACAGTCATGTGTCCATGTCCATCACTATGATCAAAATACAGAAAATTGGCCAGGCACAGTGGCACATGCCTGTAATCCCAGTGCCTCTGGGGGCTGAGATAGGAGGATCAAGAGTTCAAAACCAGCCTCAGCAAAAGCAAGGTGTTCTATTCTGTGCTGTCCAGTTGGTAGACAGGGTGAGACCCTGTCTCTAAAATTAAAATACAAAATAGGGCTGTGGATGTGGCTCAGTGGTCTAGTGCCCCTGAGTTCAATCTCTGGTGCCAAAAAAAAAAAAAATCAGAAAAGTATCTCCCCACAATTTCCTCATGCTCTTTTGTAGTCAGTCTCCTCTACCTGTCACATGGCCCCTAGCAACTACTGATTAGATTTCTCTCTTCATATTTTTGTGTCTTCTAAAATGCCACATAAATTAAGCCATACAGTGTATAGCCTTTGTGTCTTTCTTCCACCTAGCATAATGCTTTTGAGTTGACTCAGTGTTGTTCCATGTATCAATAATCCCTTCCTTTTTATTGCTACTAATAGTCCTTTGGTAGTTCATTCACTCACCAGTTGGATATTTGGATTATTTCCAATTTGGGGCTTTTTAAAAATACAGCTATAGTAAAAAGTCATGTGTAGGTTTTTGTATAGATGTTATGTTTTGATTTGGGTAAATATCTAGGAGAAGGATTGCTGGGTCATGTGATAAGTGTATGGTTAGTTTTATAAGAAACAGGAAAGTTTTCCCACAGTGACTGTACCATTCTCACCAGGAGATAGCAGAGTCATACTTGCTCTGCATCCTTGCCAGCAACTGATATTGTCACTTTTTCTGATTTTAACCATCTTATAAGATATGTTGTAGTATCTCATTGTGGTTTTAATCTGCATTTCCCTAATAACTAATAATGTTGACCATATCTGGAGTGTTTATAGGTTTAAAGCTATTGACTACTGAGGGAAAAAAATCTTTGTTTTTTTAAGAGAAGGACTCTTCCACTTTCTTCATCCTTCACATATCTATGAACTCCAATTTAATTCATGTTTCCTAGTTCATTTTGAGTTCAGCAAGTAGAATTAAAAGCCTCCTGCTGGGTTAGGAGTGAGGCCTGAGCTCTGCCCTGTAGAAGAACTGAAAAAGAACAAAGTCCCTGCCCCTCAGAAGTTCACCACTTAGGCTCTCACCTCTCTAAACTAGCACCATCTAGTAGAACTTTCTGCAGTTATGGTAGTGCTCTATTCTGTGCTGTCCAGTTGGTAGTCATTAGCCATGTATGGTTCTGAAGCACTTGAAATGTGGCCAGTCTGACCAAGGAACTAAATTTTTAATTATAATTTATTGCAATTTAATTAGCCACTGTAGCTAATGGTTACCATATTGGATAGCACAACTCCAGACCTTAGAAGAAAAGAGGCACAGAAAATCCAGGATGAAGACTGAGGGCAAGGAGGACTAGGGTCATGACCCAGACAGCTTGTTAATGTGGGGAATGGAAGGCACAGGGATCAGAGGTCTTCCTGGGCTATGTTAGAGCTGAAAGGTTTTTTGAAGGTAGGGTAGCAATTCAGTTGGATGAGAATTTATCCATTGGGAAATGGCAAACCCTTGTGACTAGTGCTTTGCATTGTGAGACTGGAGAGAAGGAGATGCTACTTCAGCTACTGTGAAGTCTTGAATGGCTCAAACTTTACCCTGTATGATTTGGGCAGTAGGCTCTGAGCACAAGCGCTCTGAACCTTGCTGTGGGACTGTCGAAGGAGAGATTAGGTAGGCGAAAACCAGTCTGGAAATTGTCCTAGCAGTTGGGGCAAGGGATGAAAAAGATCTGAGGAGAGCCAGTCATGGAATGGAGCAGAGCAGAAGCCTGGTGATAAGTAAATGGGTAGAGGATAAGAGGCCTGCTGGAGACTAAAGTATAGCAGAGGCAGAAAAGAGCAGGTAGCTCTGTGGACTCTAGGCACTCTTCCCTCCCCCCACACATGCGTGTGCACATGCTTTGTACATATTTAGACTTCTGTAGAATTAGCCTCTCCTGACTGACTAATTATCCAGCATCATAGACATCACAGCATGCAAGCAAACTGCCTGGACCAAAGTACCTGTTTCAGTGATGTAAAGCCAGGTTTGATTATCTTCTTCATTAATGAAAATTCCTTCAGCAAATGTGGTTCTTAAGTGGCTATGTCCTGAGGAAAATCCTCCAAGACCCTACAGTGTTCTTCCTCTCCTAGGGATTGATGTGAAGCAGGTCACAATTGTTGTGAACTTTGATCTCCCTGTAAACCAAGCCAAAGAGCCAGATTATGAGACCTACCTCCATCGCATAGGGCGGACAGGACGCTTTGGGAAAAAAGGCCTGGCTTTCAACATGATTGAAGTGGACAAGCTGCCCCTGCTCATGAAAATTCAGGACCACTTTAGTAAGTAGCACTGCTTTCACAGTAGGAGCCAGGGAGCTGCTTACAATGATGGGGCGAGGTGTACCAGGGGAACCCAAGGTCAAAAGCTTAGGATGGCATGGAGGTAGAAACCATAAGGTGGAAGCCTTCTCTGTTCATAAGACCAGAGTCCTCATAATATGAGACAGTTGATTAAATAATTCTTACATTGTAGTTAAAGAAAATTTTAAAAATTAAGCAGAATTTGTATGAACTCATTCTGGTATCTGGAGCAGATTTTCATATTCTATAAATATGTACCCTAAGCAAAATCTTAAAATCTTTTAAGATTATATTCTACCACCAGCTTCCTCTTTTATTCACATTTTTCTCCTACTCTTGCCACACCATAGAATTTAGGAATGGTCCTAATTTCTGAGGCCTGCAGCCCTTCCCTTAGCCCCACCATCTAAACAAGGCAGGTTCTACTAGCCTGCTGGGGCTCTGAACTGACAGATGCACTAACGGAATCCTGAAGTCACCTTACCTGGCATATCCACTCCTCAGATCACCCCATTCCCCTAAGTGCGTATATGTGTCTGGGCAGTAGAGCAAGAGGAACATCAAGTGCTACTCTCTAGGATGGTTATACTACCTTACTTAACCTTTGTTGAAAGCAGTGGGCACTCTCCCAAGAAATGCACGTGGACACACATATAGCATGTAGAATATGATATATATAATTTTTCAAGGTTTGCACACTGAATGTTGTATGTACATTCACTGAGCCTTTAGGAAAAGAGATTATATACCTCTGTGTTAGGCTGACTGGGAAGGGGCAGAGGAGAAAGTACCTTGGCCCTGTTCCTGTGGTGAGCATCTAAGGATCTAGTCTTGGGAAGTGACCAGTTGGAAGAGCCTTGGTCCTTCCCAGGCTCTTCTCACTGCCCCATGGCATCTAAATGTGTGTGTTCTAGGTGCATTTGCTACCGTTTCAGTTAGTGTTGGCCAGTTTTTTGCTACCTCCCTTCTTTGTGTTCCTGTTTCAAGACTTCCTATGCAAGGTGTCACAGGAACTTAGATTTTCAAAGGCATCACTGTCTTGAGAAACTCAAAGTTGGCCGAAATGAGTTTTCATTTATGCCCCGGAGTAAGACTGTTTTTTTTTTTTCTCCTTTGTTCTTTTTAGACAGCAGTATTAAGCAGCTTGACCCTGAAGACATGGATGAGATTGAAAAGATTGAATATTGAAGAAAGAACTCTATTGTTTGTGAGAGATAATAGTTTATGTGAGAATGTTCCAGTGAGTTTTGAAGGTAGTTTTTTTTTTTCTTTTTTTTTTTTAAATGTTCAGTCTATTTCAATGTGAAATTGTTCACAGATGGCAAAATAAATGACTTGGTACCCTTAGTTGAAGACCTGAGGAATTTTTGAAACCAAATTTATGTGAAGCACATGATTCTTTTGAATAAAAAAAAAAAAAGCAAGATTCTTTCTTATTCTAATCTCTGAATGGGCTTCTGGGATATTTCTGGATTTAGTTCATATAAACTGAGCAGACTATGCCTCTTGCCAGCCAGTGCCACAAGATGGCAGTAGTACTTCGCTGGGTTTTGGAATTTGAACTGATGGGACAAATGGAAAGGACAAGCCTCACTCACAGGCTGCCCTTTCCAGCCATTAATGTCCCTCCCCTCTCCCCCCTTCACCTTCTTCTGTGTGCACACATTCAGAGGCAAAAAAAAAATAGAGTAAAACTCTTAAAAAGTGAAATATTTGGAAGAAAGAACATTTTGCTTTTTAATATTTCAAGTGACATCCAGAATTTCAGAATATTTTTTCTATTTTGCTTTTTACTGTCTTTAGATTAGAGAAAATTTGCTGAATCGTCAGTTACTTAATAGTATGAAAAGGTGGCATTACTCTAGGCATTTCTTAAAAACAGGCAGTGGGGGTTAAAAAGAAAAGGAAAGGAAGAAAAAGCTCATGTGCCTTCCTAAATAAGTAACATTCAGGTAGCCTTAATGGTATATGTGTGAATCCTGGTCATTTTCCTGAAAGCCCCTTTGAGATGATTTCTCTCTCACATTTCCTGCTCAAAAGTGAAGCCCTGAGGTTGAGAACAAGGGATGAATGGCTGGTCTCCCACAAAGCTTGAGCAGGTCATGTAGCCTGCAGCCAAAGCCTAGGCACCAGTTCTGTCATAGCCTCAGGCTGCCAAAAGTGGCTCTTGTGAGTGCCTTTGTCATCCCGGTGTGGATGATTATTTCAACTTGTAGATCTCTTGCTGGTGTTTTATCCCCCAGTTCAGGACTCAGAAGTACATGAAAATCACTAGGCTCCCTCATTCAATATCAAATATTTATTGTGTACCAAAAACCCCAATAAAAGGGAAATGAATAGAATACAAAGACATCTCAGAATTCAGAGTCTAAAGGCAAAGACGCGGAAGAAACCAACATTAGAATAGACTGTGATAAAGGAGAGGTGTACAGGTCCCTAGTGTTGCACAGAGGAGAGGCCCCTTATACCGTCTGGGCCACCTTCCAAAGGAGTAGACACTCAGGGTTCCTATAGGAGGGCAGGATATATTCAACAGTGCTTGTCCAGTGTGCATATAATATCACCTAGCAGTTTCCTAACCTGGGCCCACTGAGGCAGTGTTCTAGACCCAGTTCATCATCTCTGTTGCCTGGAGAACCTGGAAGAAAACTAAAGATTCCTTCCCCATTACAGACAAAGCTACTTGCTGAGAATAGAGCCCCAAAAGACATACTCAGGCAAGAAGAGCTGAAAGGATAGGCAGAGTAATGGGTGAAGACCACTGGCTTAAGGAGGAGACTCTGCAACAAAGAGAGGTCCTTAGAGATAGAATTTATAAAAGGTGAAGCTCCCACTTGGGAATGTCCACTCCAGTTCTCCATATACTGCCATACCTCCCTCTCTAGACTGGAAACTGTGGTCAGTTTCATTGTCCACTCTATATCCAGGCCTTGACACAGAGCCCAGAACTCAGTAGGCACTCGTCAAGTAAATATTTTCCTTTTTTTTTTTTTTTGGCCTTGATGTTTTCATTCATTAACATTTTTCCTTAATGTTTTCCATCCTAATTTTGAACCCCAATAATATGACACAGGGTAGGTAAGCACAGGAAACACTCTTACTATTTGAGAATTGAGTTTGACTTTCCACCATACTCAGCCCAGCCTTGGTATATCTTTTTTTTTTAAGAGAGAGAGAGAGAATTTTTTAATATTTATTTTTTAGTTCTCGGCGGACACAACATCTTTGATTGTGGTGCTGAGGATCGAACCCGGGCCGCATGCATGCCAGGCGAGCACGCTACCGCTTGAGCCACATCCCCAGCCCCAGCCTTGGTATATCTTAAATAAAACTTGATCACCTCTGGTAAAATTTCTACCAGTTACCCTCATGAGTGCCTACACCAATCTCCATTTAGCAACTGTTCCCACAGGGTCTGCAAACACTAGGCATTCTTCTGTCTTCCCCTTTGCCCCTCTCTTCATGTCCCTTTGTCTCGCCACCTAGGAGGCAGCAGAGCCATCCTGTTTTCTGCTGAGGTCACAGCTGTATTAACACTAGCTGTCCAGATTGGTGAGTCAACAATTCAAAGGCCCTTTAGCAGGGTGCAGCTCCTTGTTCAGAACTGTAAGCAATTTTCACTTCTGCACATCTGGCCTGGTCGAGGTCTCTCTTCTCCAGTAAATGGAGAAGCAAGGAATACCAGATGACTTCAGTGCATCTGTGAACTGGCGTAATCAGCTGTGTGTTATTTGGCACCAAATACTAAACCAAATCCATTGGGTTTATCTTGGCCAGCTTAATACTGTGAACATATTGAAATTCATGATTACGTGGAGCAGGGTTGTGATTTGCAGTGGGAGTTGTGAGTGATCACCTAGCATGGAGCATGGCTGCTGTGATGTTAGGTGCTGGATCTAAGACAGCTGTTAACAGGAAAGGCAAATGATCTGGTCATCGTCTGGTAGGACGTCTGACAGCTCCTTCTCAAGAGACATTATTGTGTTTGGAGAAAGTGTTGATCCTCCTCAGCAGAGCTCAGTCACCATGAAAGCCACTAGCAGTCTCTGCACAGATGATCAACAGTGGAAAATCTTAGGGGATTGCTGGGGTAGGTGGGGACAGGACCATGAGCAGCATCTTTGCAGACACCAGAGAGAGAAGCTGGTCATTTCAAGCCTTCATTTGGCTCTTGGTTCTCTTGATTCAAGTAGGAGACTAGAACATAAAAAGGGCCTAAGCAGAGACAACCCAGCTGCTGGGATGGAAGAGGAAATGTGAATCCAGCCCAGGATCCTCTCTGGCCAAGCCTGCACTTCTTTGCCCCCTGAGCCAGGAGGCCAGCCTTCTGTTCTTGCTTGCTTTGCCCTGTCACGTCTCGCCATGCACACTGATTCTCTCAGGATGGCCTTCAGGAACCCAGCAATTGGGCACCCACTAGTTTTACCAAAGGAGTAACAGAAGAGTCAGATTCCCTTCAATCTTAACCCCCTCTCTCTAACTCTCAACCCTTTCTGGGAAATAATCAAGTACATCAAAGACCTTTATAAATCATTTTAACCCACAGACTTGTGAAATATCACAGTCATGCAGTAAGCTTCAGCAGATACCAACTAACTTTCTACTCTAAAAAGAATTCAAAAGGCATTCACTTCAAAATTTTCTGTATCTTTTAAATCCATGACTGAGAAAAGAATTGGACACAGCCACTTCTTTCACTGACTCCCACCTTCTCCCAATTCTGCCTCTCACTTCCCCAGGCTGATTTTACCTTTTTACTTGCCCCGGGGTCAGGAGGGCTCAGGAGGGCCATTCTCTGGCCCTCTCACACTCTCTTCTTCCTATCTCTCAATGTTGCCTGGTGCCTGCTCAACAAAATGCTCTTTGGCCAATTCTCTCAAGATGCTTTCTTCTGGTTTCCTTTATTGCTTTGCAAACTGTGACTTTATGGGTGGGATCAAAGCATTTTCCATTTTTAATATGGATTTTTTACTCCCCTTGAAACTCAAAATTTTAGACTCTTCCAGTGGTATACAGGAAATAAACCTGCAGTGTTACTAAAGAAGTAACAGTGTTGTCTGGACAATCCACAGAGGGTCCCAGTGGCCTGTGTCTGGAACTGCTCAGTCCTTCACAAGCTTATAAGCCTTCTACTTCTGCCCAGGTTAGAAACAACCAGAAGTTCTCATGTGATGCAAAACATGAGCTCTGAAGAAAGGCTTTCCCTTCTTGTATTCAGGAGAACTGAAAGAATTTTAATGAAAATTGAGCCTGTGGAAAGAAATAGAGCAACTCTCTGTAGCACTTTTCTTAGGGAATTCGTCTTTGCCCTTAATTTTCTTTCTAATCAGTTTCTGCATTGAAGTTTCTAGAATATATTTTCCATGAATGGGGATGGTCTCCTGTTTTGAGTTTAATATTTTTCTACTGCTAGAAAGAATAATATGGTCTCACTCCAGTCCCTTGGTTTGTGATTTATGTCTTGAAATCCCAGCTGGAAAGAGGTGATTGACATGAAAGCCCTGCTTTGTGTAAAGTTCAGAAGCATGTCATGTATGGACTGAACAGGCACCTTTATGAGGTGGTGAGCTTCCTCCCATCCATGAGAGTATTCAGGCAGTCAGAAGGCAAACAGTTACTTGTAATGGGTGTTGTACTTATGGTTCTTGAATTACCAGGCGTTTAGAATAAAATGATCTCTGAAACTCTGCCCATTCTAATATACCATGTTTCCATGACCCCTCACAGAATAGCTCCACACACGTGAGCCATAGAAACTTAGTACAGAAGATTATTTCTCACAGATGAAAGGTAAATGGGATGATTAACTTCTAATTGCACCTTGTCTTAACATTTAGATTCACTGCTTCTTATCCATGTGATCATTTCTTTATTCTGAGCTTCATCAGCTTATGCAGAATATAGATTATATTTAATAATATTTATATTACAAAGCAATAAAATAACAAACAAAAGTAGCAGTAAAGTTATCCAATATCTCATTGCTTAATTATTGTAAATATTGCCTTTAAATAGTCCTTTTCATCTTAATATTAATAACTTCATCTTTTTTTATTATATCACTTTACTTGAAACATTCAAGTGTACTTTTTCCCTTCATGTTGCTGCATCATCTTCAGGGTTATTATTTTTAAAATAATAATTGACCAGATTTTCTGGTGAATATGCATATAACTATCTTTGTTCAACAATTATATGGTGACCAGTTTTCTAGCATTATACTTATAACTAATGACTGTGGTGAATATCTTCCTGCTCAATATTTTGAATTATTTCTTAGGATTAGAGATGTTAAGTTTGAGTGCCAGGTTAA